CAAGGCGGGACGCCTTAAAAACAATGCTTACATTATTAATCAGAGGAAGTATATGACTCTGATATGTGAATGTCTCGGTTTACATGGAAATAAGTGCGCTGTTGGCTTCATCCCCTAGGAACAAAGCTAGAATTATCTGTCCTCCGTTCCATAATTTGAAGTAAAACCACGACAAGAATTATGGAACGAAGGGAGTACTTAGCTTCTTAGTATGGCCCATGCTTCTCCTTTTGGAGACGTTTCTGTACTTGAGAAGAATTGGTGAACGTCTTCTGACTGTAGCAATCAATATTCAGGATGGTTTGCTTTAAGGTCACAATCTCATTTTTTTTCTAATGCTCCTGTTATTGCAACTTCCTTTGCAGGGTTTATGACCAGATGCCCGAGCCTCGATGGGTCATATCGATGGGCAGCTGTGCCAATGGTGGTGGGTATTACCACTACTCCTACTCTGTTGTGCGTGGATGCGACCGCATTGTTCCTGTGGACATCTACGTCCCTGGATGCCCCCCAACTGCTGAGGCCCTACTGTACGGTGTTCTCCAGCTCCAGAAGAAGATCAACAGGCGCAAGGATTTCCTTCACTGGTGGACCAAGTGAAGCGCTGCTTGTTACTGTTCTGGCTTGTTATATTTGTTTTTGATTCTACCTGCTCATCAACTGAAATAAGGACCTTGTGCTCGGACGTGCAAAACTTTTGCTGTTGTTGTGCCTGGGAGGATGTATGCCCGGGCTGTGTGGACGAGCACGGACTCGTGTACCTGGTGTTGCTGTAACTGTTTTTGCTCTACATATTGTAATACACCTTGATCACTTCGTTGTGTAAGAATTTCAGCCAAGTGCAATTGAGCACTTCCATATCATTTTTGCATGATGATGCAAATTTGCTACGAGTACAGGACATGTCTACGTCATCATGATTTGCACACGATTGTATGATGATGCAAATTTGCTCCAAACTTCCGAGGGCTCCAAATCTTGTGCTGCAAGTATTTATTTACCATAAGTCTCTCTGGATGTAATCGTAAGCTTAACAGAATATACTTGTGCTACCCCGAAAAAAAAAACTTGTGCAAAGCGCCCCTATAAAACGCATGCTGTGGGCCGTACGGCTCTGCGTGCGTTACGTCTTCTGGAATCTCTTGGTCCCCGTCCCCGTCCTTCAAACCCCCTCACCAAGAAAGCGGAGGTGAACCGACCAACGAAACCGTCATCAAATTGGTCGCCAACAAGTTTGTGCTTCCTGATCTACCTCTAATCTTCTGCTCCGCATTGCGCCTGTGACCGGCGGCAGATCCATGGCGGCGCTGGCGTCGAGGATGGCGCAGCTGCAGTCCAGGGCGGCGTTGGCGACGAGGCTCGCGGCCAAGCACGGGGGCGCGCTGCAGTCCGAGGCGGCAAGCTTCGCGGCCAAGCACAGGGCCACGCTGCAGTCCAAGGCGTCCGAGGCGGCGAGCATCGCGGCCAAGCACGGGGCCACGCTGCAGTCCAAGGCGTCCGAGGCGGCGAGCTTCGCGGCCAAGCAAGGGAGCGCGCTGCAGTCCAAGGCGTCCGAGGCGGCGAGCTTTGCGGCCAAGCAAGGGAGCGCGATGCAGTCCAAGGCGGCCGAGGCGGCGAGCTCCGCGGCCAGGCAAGGGCGCGAGTACCACAAGACGCTCATGGAGAGGAACAAGCAGTACGTCATCGATCCGCCCACCGTCGAAAAGTGCCAGGAGCTCTCCAAGCAGCTTTTCTACACCCGCCTCGCCAGGTCCGGACGATCCCTAGCCCCCTACCATTCATCCCTCCTTTGCTCCTGCATCATAGATTGTTTCCTGATGTTGATCTGCTAGCTGATGTGCCTACCAGCTTCCGCTTCAGTTGCTATAACTAGTTAACGTTTTGGGGCTGCAGCGTGCAGTAGATAAGCCTTTGTAGGGTTAATTGGTGCTTGTTTGGTCTGGTGTATTGTGTGTTTTTCTTGTTGTAGCTTGCGAGGTTTACTGATCGGATGGGTGAATTGGGGATGCAAAGGGCACTAGCTGATGGTTTGCCGTTGCCGTATAGCCATGGGCTGTATATAGTTAGTTTGGTTTGAGCACCCTGAAATAAAGTAAAATGTTCCTTGTTTCTTTTTATGCTTAATGGTCGCAAGGTTTCAAGAATCAAAACCCAAAAGGGAGTTTCAGGCTTTGTAGTGATATCCTATTGTCGCCTTATGTCGAGGCAGCCATGGTCGATGCTCTCTCTTGCAAATACATCAAATTTTACGGCCCGCCTAGTCGTCATCCCTTATGTGCTGATTTTTATCACTCAAAATATTGAGGATTCAGGCTTTCTAACCAATGTAAACTCTAGTAGTGCTGATTTATACTATCACTCACAATATTAAGGATTCAGGCTTTCTACCAATGTATAAATTCTAGCTTCTGCGAGGTTTCAACTAGACGCTACTTGTGGACACCACCTTAATTAAGAATACAGCAGGCGTCTTTAATTTCAGATTATCTTCCTTTTGATTTATCATATGGCTTCTACTAGTCTACTAGATGGATGTTCATTAACTATGTTGGGTGTCCTAATGCTGAATGAAATCTGCTTTGTTTAAATAAATTTTTTGTGTATCCTCCCCTGTTTAAAATAGTTGGGTTTGCTGCCTTGTCTATTGGGAATAGCGCTGCTTGGTCATGTCAGTTTATATTGGGAATAGCGCTGCCTTGTCTATTGGGAGTATATGGAATTATGGATAGCGAATTAGGTTGGATGCTATTCGCAAAATAAATAAATTAGGTTGGGTGCTAATCTTTTAACAGTTAGTTAGAGTTAGGCTGGTCGTAATGGTAGTATCATACTTCCTCCTTTCCGATTTATAGGGCCCAATTCAAAAATCTCACCAACCAAGGTAGATGGTGAGTGGTGGAATATTTTTTATAGTTTGCAAAATCACCTAATTAATGCTCTTGTTTTCCTCAAAAAATTGTGCTTATCAATGCATTAATTAAAATGCATGCATGCATAAAGTACATGCATTGGTCAATCTTCTCTTAATACTTGCATGCAATAATTTAATGCACCTTGGAATCTAAACATGTGATGAGGAACAACCAAATTGAGCTTTATAAAATGGAAAAACTAAAATTTTGAGATAAGCCCTATAAACCGGAAAGGAGGGAGTAGTTAGTATCATGCACGCCAACTAGGCAATTTTGATGAGGTGTTATAGCATTAAATGAAGAAATAGATGGTGTAGTATCATGATACCGTATCATATTAAATGCTATGCTACTTTGTGTCATGCATGACAATAAATAGAGTACTACATGATACTAATATATGATACTATGCATTAGGGAGGTAGTATTATACACTAGTATCATATGCATGATACTAGTATATGATACTCCCCATTACAACCAGCCTTAGAAGGTAGCAACATTCTCGGTCTTTTCGAACCTGTTCAAGCCAGCAAGGACTTCCAAGATAAAACAGCTATTAGAATTTGATTCCTTGATGAAGCAACAATGGTAAATGTGACACAATGTTCATGAATTCCACTCTGGATAAACTAGGGATCCTGGATTCTTTATGATGATGGTTTATGCATATTGGTATGCTGGGTTATGTCAAGGTTTCTGCATATTTGTATGTTTATTCCTATTTAATCATTTATCTATGTGGCAACTGGCAACTGGTTTAAAACAAAAACGAAGATGTAATTAGATTGCATAGCATACTCCAAAAATGTGCACAAAACTGGACAATGTAACAGCTGTACTTGATTTACGGTGTTGTCGTGACTTATCAGAAGTTTGATGGATGTTATGTTTGTTGCAGCATTCCTGGCCGTTACGAGGCATTCTGGAAAGAGGTTGATGGTGTAAAGCTGTTGCTGAAAAACAGAAAGGACCTGAATGTTGAGCACGCCGGGGTTGCCGCATTGTTTGGCATTGAGTTGTATGCGTGGCTTTGTGCCGGTGAGTTTATTGGTAGAGGATATACCCTCACAGGTTACCATGTCTGATCGCCGGCGTCTAGCATGAGCGCACACTATTAGTCTACATACATTTGCCGTCTAGCTATGAGCGTACATTGTTAGTCCACATTTGCCATCGGATACTGTGTTCGTCGAAAGTTTGTGCTTTTCTAGTTTGTTCTTGTCTCTGCTGACTTGGGGGTAAAATGTGTTGTCCATTACTTATGTGGGATAGCCAATAGATTGGAATTCCCTGGGATGGCCATGTGTTTATTTCCCCATCTTTCGAGCTCTTTGGTAGGTCATGCACGCGGTGTGGTTGATGAATGTATGCTCTCATCTGGCGAATTTGGCATTGCCGTGAGCAGTAAAACAGAGATTTGACAAAAGGGAAGCAGGTAGTAGCTGAACATAGTATTGAGAGATGGCAAAATAAAATCAGACATCTGAAACAATTTTTGCGAGGTTGGGCCAGAAATGAGAGTGGGATTTACAAGCAAGAAAAAGAACGACTCACTCAATTAATTGAAGGGAATTGTTTGGCAACGGTGCATCGGCCGAAGCTTCGGCCGGTCGCGTCCACACGCAAACGCGCCCAGTGACTCGCCTAGCGACACGTAGGCCATCCACGTGCCTCTTCTCCCTCCTGCCTTTTCTCATCTTCCTCTCGGTCATCTCTCTTCTCTCTCCCTATTGCCATGGTCAACCCGTCACCTGCGCCGGAGGCCTCCCCGGGGCGCTGCCGTCATGGGAATCAGCCGATCTGGCCGCGCTCGACCAGATCCGCGTGGATCCGCATGCATCGGAGCCCTGCCTACCTCACCGGAGCTGCAACCAGCCATGGCAGACTACACCCCGCGGCGAATTTTTGCTGGAACCGGTTGTAGCAAATTCAATCGTCGGTGGTAGCAAAAATCTACTATGGTTGCAACAAAACGGCGTCATCGTCATCGCGGGGGTCGCAACTGAGATAAGAAGTTTAAAGCTTTTCTCAATGCAGTTGTAACTTTTATAACTGTCGGTTGCAACTTTTCGTTTTTCGTCCATGGCTTCGTTTCCATAGTTGAAACTTTTTTATAGTCGGATGAAGCTTTTTATGCCACCGGTTGTAACCCATAGCTCCATCGTATACTGGTTGAAGCTTTTTTCTAGCCGGTTGAAGCTTTTCCTATCGCTAGTTGTAACCTTTTTGGTCGTTGGTTGTAGCACTGGGCATCTCCCCCGGTGCTCGATTTTTTGTTGCAAGCTGCACACCGGGGATGAGCGGCGGCGAGCATGTCGATGAGCTTCAGTCGTCGCAACCGGAGCTACAACGGTCTCAACAAGAGCTTCAACCGCGGGGTGCGGTTGTTGCACGGGGCAAAGCAACAAGGACGGTCAGCGGTGGTTGGGGCTGGTGACTAGGATGGTGGCTGGCGGGGATGAGGGCGGACGGCTGGGACGAGGACGGTGGTCGGCGGGGACGAGGGCGGAAGGCTGCGACGAGGACAGCAACGTCGTGGACGAGGGCGGCCGGCGAGCTGGTTGGCGTATGGGAGATCACGGGGCAGTGGGGATGAAACAGACGACATGCCTTCTTTTTTTTACCAGTGAAGCAATTGGGGAAAGAAGCAATCGTGCGACTACTATGGAACATATCGTACGTCCACGGTACGACCGGCCGAATTGTTCGGCCAGCGCACCGGCGCAGATCAATGCCCTTAATTGAAGCGTTAGATTTAAAAGTTGAAAGTAACCTTCTTACAGTTAATGAGCAAAGCTCCAAATTCGAAGCTGAACAAGGCTTACGAGCTCCTCTTAGAGAAGAAGAGCTCAAGTGGGCCTTGCGTGCTAAAGTTCTTAAGGTTGTCCAAGGGGATGACAACACACAATTCTTTCATATGATTGTGAATGGTAAACATAAAAAGAAAAAAGTCATAGAACTTGAGCAGGACGAGGGGACAATTGTGGGGCATGAGAATCTGCAAGCTTATATCTCAAATTACTATAAACAACTTTTTGGGCCTCCTGAGGCAAGCACGGTGGCCCTAGATGAATCTGCTATTGGAGATATACCTCAGCTCCAGGTGGTGGAGAATGATATTCTTTCTGCACCTTTTACTGAGAAGGAGGTTCTCGATGCAATCTCACAAATGAAACCGAATAAAGCACCGGGACCAGACGGGTTTCCAGCTGAATTCTATAAGAAATGTTGGCATATTATTAAGGATGATCTTATGCCGATGTTTCATGATTTCTTTAAAGGTCATTTAGAACTATTTCATCTTAACTTTGGCATGATTATGTTGTTGCCAAAGAAAGAAGAGTCAGTTCGGATCGAGCAATTTAGGCCAATATGTCTTCTCAATGTGAGTTTCAATTTTTTTACAAAGGTGGGTACCAATAGATTGACACAAATTGCTCATTCAGTGGTACAACCGAGTCAGACAGTATGCATGCCAGGGCGCCACATACTTGAAGGGGCGGTCGTTTTGCATGAAACGCTTCATGAAATTCATTCAAAGAAACTAGATGGGGTTATCTTCAAAGTGGATTTTGAGAAGGCACATGATAAAGTTAAATGGCCTTTTCTTCAGCAGGCAATGCGCATGAAAGGATTTAGTGAAGCCTGGCGGAAACAAGTGGGTTCTCAAGTCCAGGAGGGTAGTGTCGGCATCAAGGTTAACAATGATATTGGTCACTATTTTTAGACTCACAAGGGATTGAGACAAGGGGATTCCATGTCTCCTCTCTTGTTTAATATAGTGGCCGATATGCTCGCCATTCTTATTGGTAGGGCCAAACAGCATGGTCAGGTGGAGGGGTTAGTCCCTCATCTGGTCGATGGAGGAGTATCCATCTTACAATATGCTGACGGCACTATCTTATTCATGGAACATGACATTGCTAAGGCACGCAATATGAAACTCATATTATGTCTCTTCGAACAATTGCCAGATTTAAAGATTAACTTTCGCAAGAGCGAGTTGTTCTGCTTTGGGAAGGCGAAAGACGAGCAAGACATATAGACAATTGTTCGGGTGTGAATTAGGTTCCTTACCTTTTAGTTATTTGGGCATACTGATTCATCACCGTAAATTATCCAACAAAGAGTGGAAGTGCATCGAAGATCGAATTAAAAAAAAGCTTAGCTGCTGGAAGGGCAAGCTTATGTCTTATGGAGGTCGGCTAGTGCTGATTAACTCGGTACTGACTAGTATGCCGATGTTCCTATTATCGTTCTTTGAAATACCGAAAGGGGTACGGAAGCGACTTGATTTCTTCAGATCTCGTTTCTTCTGGCAGTCAAATGAGGCCAAGAGGAAATACCATCTCGCGCGATGGGATATACTTTGCAGACCAAAAGATCAGGGGGGTCTCGGTATTAAGAACTTAGAAATCAAGAATAAATGCCTTATGAGAAAATGGCTCTACAGGTTAGAGACGGAGCCGGAAGGCATGTGGGCGCAGATTTTGTGCAATAAGTATTTCGTAGGGTCAAATTCTTGGTTGGCAATGGGATGTCAACAAGATTTTGGGAGGATACGTGGTTAAGAGAGACACCCCTGGCCGTACAATATCCCAACCTGTATAATATTGTGCAACGTAAAGAGGCTTATGTTGCCATAAGTTTTCAAATGATTCCCTTGAATATTCAGTTCGGACACGTGTTAATTGATGAGTGATGGACTCCCTAGATGCACTTGGTTCGGAGATTGATAGATGTTCACCTCTCCGACTAGCCGGACTCGACGCAATGGAAATTAGCTAAAAATGGGGGTTTTATGGTGAAATCCTTCTATTTGGATTTAATTAATTATGTCCCAATCTCAAGATCGTTGCATATTTGGAGGGTTAAGGTTCCTTTGCGTATTAAAGTTTTCATGTGGTTCGTCCACAAGCAAGTAGTTCTCACCAAGGACAACTTAATTAAGAGGCGATGGGTAGGTAGTTCACGTTGTTGTTTTTGTGATCATGATGAAAAAATACAACATTTATTCCTTGAATGCCCACTCGCCAAATTGCTTTGGAGAACGATTCATATAGCCTTCAACATTACTCCTCCAGTGGACATTGAGTCGCTGTTTGGAACGTGGTTAGCTGGGGTTGAGCATACTACTGCGGCTCGTATTCAGATTGGAATATGTGCGCTTTTATGGGCTATATAGAACTGTAGAAATGATTTGGTTTTTAACAGACAACATACTCTAACTTTCTTGCAGGTTATCTTCAGAGCTACCGCATGGATCCGTACGTGGTGCTTACAAACTCCTATGGACTCCAGGAAGCCTTTGGTTACTGGGTGCAACCAGTGGGAGATGGTAGCACGGGCTATATACAACCGGTTCGGATGGCGGTCGCATAACAGGATAGGAGTCTAGGAGCTTATCCCTCATATTGTCGTACCGATTGTGATTGTTAGCATGTATTTTTCTTTCTTTCACTCCACTTGCAAGCTGTAATACTTTTATGACTTTGTGCTACTTCGTGGATTTGTTTAATAAGATGGCTGCATGCATCATCATGATGTAAAGCCGGGGGTACTCCTCCATTTCAAAGAAAAAGTAGCTGAACATACGAGTCCCATGTTGGACAAGCCAACTTACGTGGTGGTTGGCTTTCAGTGACGTCCCAGTTATCGTGGAAATGGATTGCTCCTATCTCGTATGTATAAACATATTAAGGGCATGTACACTAACCTTATAAACATACCATACCCCTTGCTCGTACGCACGTGGGAAGCCATTGCTAGGGTTTCTGCTGCCTCCCGTCGCGCAGCTGCCTGCCTGCCTCATCTCCTGTGGCCTTAATTAGGGCATGGAAATGCGGTGGATCCCGGTCTTTGCTGGCGGGAGGGTTCCGGTTTTAGGCGTTTTATTGACTTTTGATAGGGCTTCCTGAAGATGGAATAAGGTTCTCCCCACCTAGCCCTCGTCTCGGTGGTGCTTCTAGCATCGTAGGAAGGGGGTGGAGATTTGTCTCTGAAGAGTCTTGCGGCGTTTGGTCGGGGTTTGTCTTCGGTGGATCCGGTCTTCGTTCATATATGTTTGTGTGTTTACAGGTTGGAT